ACCCCGTAGCTAAACCCTAATGCAGATATCTTCAGTCCTGTCAGAAGTCACATTTAAGACATGAGTGTCAGCAATAGGGGTGATCTAGTAAGAAGGAAGCCACAGGAATTCGATGGGAAGACACCATGGGAAGCATATATATATATAGCACAATTTGAGCTCCTGGCAGAGATGAATGGATGGACAGAGGAGCAGAAAGCAGTATATCTGACAACGAGCTTGAAGGGACAACCACTGGAAGTACTTGGACAGTTGTCAGCAGATGACAGGCACAACTATAGAGCACTGGTAGCTGCTTTAGAAATCAGGCATGGAACTCCAAATCAGTCTGAAGTCTAAGGGCTAGATTTAGGACGAGAGTCTGTGCTAAAGGGGAGAGCCTGCAAGAGCTGCCACAGGACTTGGAAAGTATGGCACACAAGGCCTACCCAGCTGCACCACCCGATCTCTTCAAGTTGTTGCTGAGGGATCAGTTTGTAGATGCCTTGGTTAGTCCACAACTGAAGATACAAGTGAAGCAAGTACACCTCTCTACTATGCAGGATGCAATGGCCAGAGCTCTTGATTTCGAATCCTACGTTAAGTCCAGCACAGAGGTACCAAGGTTCGTACAGTCATCAGGATTCAAGGCCAGAAAAGGGCAGCTTTCAGAGAAGTTTGAGGGACTTTGCTGGCACTGTAACAAACCTGGGCACAAGAGAGCTCAATACTGGCAACTTCAACACAGGGAAGATGCCACGGCAGGAAAGGCTACTACCCAGAAAGGTTGTTGGTACTGTGAAGAGCAAGGACATATGAGGAGCCAGTGTAAGAAGAATACTACCAATAAGTCAGCTTCGGAAAAGCAGTAGTGGTTGGTGCTGAGGGATGCTCACCAACCCTGATCGTGAAAGTCCCAACAGCTAAGTGTAAAATGGCAAGCACACATAATGTTTATGTGACAGGAAAGCTGGATGGCCAAAAGTGTGACTTTGTCATAGATTCTGCATCTCAGCAAACCCTTGTGAGTGCTAGATCAAAAGGAAGTACCAGAAGCCATACAGATGCTCTGTGGTGTGACAGGACATTCTGCAAGGTTGTGTGGACCAGTGTG